CCCTCCAGGGAACGATTAGGGGGGTTCCTTGATTACATAGGGGAGGTATACTGCATTCTGGGGGGCTCCGTGTATGATTTTGGTCAAAAATGTTGCATGTCACCAGAAAAAAAAAAACTCTGCGGCTATCGACGTATCTCGACGAGGCGGTCACGACCATCGTTGTTTTACGTTCCAATTTTTTTTCAAAAAAAAGTTATCGCACAAAACGTGATTGGACAAATTGTTGTGCACGGACCATAAGAGGCAGAGAAGGCCTTGTGTCAACCGTACTGCCTGCACACCTAAACATTCTCGGCGCTTCTGCGGATGGCTAACGTAAGGAAAGGCATACTATGCTACACCTGCTGACACATGGTCAGTTCCTTACGCAACATATAACCACGACCCCACACCCCTGTGAGCCCCACACAAGGACTCCCTTTTCCGCTGTATCTTTCGTGCCGCCGAAATACATGGGATGTGTGAGTGTAGTTTCCGTTATTTTGTGTACCGATGGAAGATTTTGGGGCTTGCCCTCCAAGCCGTCCAAGAGAGCCAATTTTTGGGCGCGCGGCAAGAGTCAGAATACGTTGGATCTCAGTCGAGGGCAACGGAGGGCGGAAGGTGGACTACATAACCACAACTTCAGCGATTACCTTCCTCCTAGGTTACCCCGGCGTGCGCGTTAAACACAAGCTACAATCTCGTTCACCATACGGAAGAGGTGTAGGCTGGCGTGCAGAACGAACGGCGAAGAGATGCACAATACGGCGTTGTATAGTCTAGACTACAGCAGAACTTCACAACAAAATTCAACGCAGCAGTCCCGCAAACAGAGGGTACAACGAGGCGCAAGATCTGGGGCGACTGACTCCATGCTACCCCTTAGCATGACCAACCACACTCGGTGCGACTGTTCATCATGAGTACAGCACAACAATATGCCGTTCCTTCCTTCCCCGGCAGAACGTTGGAAGCAAACGGGAAGGGACACCGCCAAATGCTATATCATGTTTCATTCCCGGGAGCTTGGCTCCCAGGGATTCCACGCAGCGAAGGTACCCGCCCTCCCAGGTGTTACTCACCGAGTACGCCAGGGTCACTCGTGGCTTGTGCTTCAGCTTGGCAGGGCAAAGGGGAGGGAGAAGGTGTCCGTACCCACACACCTGCACCCTAGACCACCCAGCTGCCACCCAGAACAGGATTGGCTGAATTCGACATTCCCGTGGGGGAATCCTACAAATTGCGCCGCATCTCGACATTAACGGTCCGTATCACAAGATCACAAGTCGCCCTCTCTGCTTTCCTTCCCATGGTAGGTTGGAGGCTCGCCCCTGTGGTGCTCGCCCCTACCTGCCCACTCTCTTTTCTGGTATCCCTACATCTGGCATTGTAATTCTTGAGCGCTTCTCAACAGGGGCAGCGGGGGGCGAGGTCCTCCCTTTCAACAACCCAACAGCGTCCGTCTCCTCGACGGCAACCATCAAGAGCCCACATGTGTCGGTAGTAGGTATTACAGCAGTGGTCTACGTGTCAGCAATCCATCGTCAGGTAGCGTGCTTGATAGCTGCCCTCGGTACCCTCACCGCGTGTACTACTCCAGATCCGGAACCCGAGGGTTGTCTCCAGCAACAAGTACACATGATGCGAGCCCTGCGGCTACTGCATCGCGATACCCACATGGTATCTATGTGTTTACTTTTGTGCCCAATTCCGCGCGGATTCAACACAGCAATTCCGGCCCGTCGAGTTGCGAACCATGTTATTTTTCTTCAGCGCTCACAGCATTTTCTGCCAGGTGGCTCCAATCTGTGGCCTCACAAAAAGGGTTCCTCTCCCTGAAGCTCCCTACCCACCCCTCCTGCGATGCTTGCCTTGAAACATAATGCGACAAGAGCGAAGCACTCTCTCTGCCCTCAGTACGCACTCCACACGAACTACAGCATTTTGCAGCGCTTTCCACCGCCAGGAACGGAAGCGTGAGAGAAAAACCCTCACGTTGAGCACGGAAAAACTCGCTTGCGCCGGGGTTCGAGCCTCTGACCTGGTCCCTAGAAGGTTGCGAGGAGATAACGGGGCGACCGGCGGTACGACGGCAACACGAAACAACAATTCAAGTAGTCTACCTAACTAACTTCGAACGGCGCCAACAAAACCGGCCTTACATCCCCGAACAGGCTTGTACTCTTAGCGAAAGGGTGTGGCAACTCGCCCCCGGCCGGGTCCATGTAGTATCACTTGATGATGCCGGTGCCTCACGATAACCTACCCGCGCACCACCTGTCCCGCTACAGCAGCAGTCTTTCATCCGTTCTGTACCGAGAAAATGGGTCTACAGCAGAAAAATACCGGGATGTCTCACGATAACCTTATACTCGCACCACCTGCCACGCTACAGCAGCAGCCTTGTCTTCGTTCTGTACGCCGAAAGGTAAAATGGGTCACACTAGTCTACACTCCTACCGGGATGCCATGTAACTTATGTCCCTGCGTATGTCGGCTATTCACCTATTCGTCCATCCGGGAGGACGCCAACACCACAAATTCCCGAGCACCATTCCACCCAAAGTCGTTTCGGGCAGGAGCACTCCGGGTCCCAATCCATGCCAGAGGCCGAAGCTCTCAACATAGCACTGGGCAAAAAATCAACCGCAAACTTGTGCTTTCTAGTATGTGCCGAGCGAGGGGCCCCAGCCAACATGGCTAGAGCATGACCTCGTCAATTCACACAAAAACAACGGACCCTCGAACACTGCGACACTTCTTACATTTGTATGCACCAAGCGTGACCACTTCGTCAATTGCTACTCTCTAAGCGTGGGACTTAGGCTTGACAAGCTATCACCCATACAAGCACACTGCCCAAAATTGCATCTGTCGCAGTACAAGAGCTAAACCTCCCCTTTCAGCTATACACCCTAGCAAAGACACGAAAGAGCACGCCCTTTTCTTGGCCTCGAGGCAGGGCCATAGAAATGAGATAATCATTCAGCCGGGTGACAACGCGATGCTAAATGAAGAAAATTACACACCTTCGGGGGACCGGTGTAATAGAAAACACAAAACGTCTAGCTGTCCGCAGAGATTCGCGGAATCGATTGGTCAGGTAGATCCCAACCGAGAAAACGCCCTAAAAGAAGTCGAAGAACATCTGTGACTTAACTCTGCTTTCGGGAGATGTCTCACTACACCTAAGCGGATCCTTGTAGACGTCGAGCTATCGGGAGTGATCACCGCAGTCCGCCGTTTCGAAAGCCAATCGCAAAGGGTAGACACGGCACGCCCTGACTCTCGCGTTCATGCGTGCCCCCGTTCACACTCAGAACCGACGATCCGCATACTGCGTTTTCATGCTGCCTTAGTCCTGGAGTTCCGGCCGGCGTCGTGGCGCGCGGTAGAGCGCACCGGCGGCGAAGCCGAACCAACTGCACCCCTGCCCTTCCCATGCCCGCCGCGGTGCGGCGGCGACTGCGGCGGCGGTGGTGACCCATTCCCCGATGATTCTTCCAGGGTTGGGGGGCCTTTGCTCCCGCCGCCACCCTTCCCCTTGCTGCCTCCTCCCCCCCCCCGTCTATGCTCGTCCCCAGCTATCCAGCCCCGCGCCTGCTGCCTCTCTCTCTCGGTGGCGAACAGCTTGGCGGAGGTAAATCTGGCGCTGAAGTTCTGGTTGAACATCATGCGGGTCTGTCGTGATGGGGGCAGCAGCGCACCGAGTTGACAGAACCGCGAAGCGCGAAGCAGGTGGGGGGGTTGACGATATATAAACAGTGTAGGTATGAAGGAAATTGAATGAACGTACATCCCTGATTATGGAGAATGTACGAGCATATTTTCATTTGTATGACGGAGGAATGAATGGGGGAGTTATCAGCAACAGCAAAATACAAGGCGACTGCATGAAAGAAACAACAACAACAACAACAACAACAACTGCAAGTTCTCGCGAAACAACGAGGTACGATAAACGCCCTGACGCACGGACGACAAACGGAAGGATAGACGGACGGACGGACGGACGGAAGTGTGTGCACCTGGAAGGGGGTCATGAAGGGGAAGAACGCCACCAGCATGGTCGGGATCATGATCACCAGCCCGATCGTCAGGTGCACCGCCCTGTACGTGTTCCAGACGATGTTGTTCCCCGCCCCGTCCACCGCCTTGTGCATATTGCCCCCCCCGACCACCCTCGACGACAGGCTGGCCTGCACCACCAAGAAGTACAACAGGAACCCGACGGCACCTGGTCTCGCACGAGTTCAAGGACGAACTCCTGGTTGAGATTTTTGGTTTCGGTTTTCATCTTTTTGGTGATTTTCATCTTTAGACTTTCCATTTTCAGATTGATGGCCTTCGATTTTCATTTTTCATAATCGTTCCTTTTAGTTAGTCAGATATTTTTATGACCGATTTTCGATGTTCGGTCTTCATTTTCGAAAATCCATAAGCCATTTTCGATTTTCAGATTTCGAGTATTTTTCCCGGGCGTTTGGTTTCGTTGATCGCAAGAATATGAGATCCCGGAGGTCCACACCAGCAAGCCATGATGCACGAAAATGACGTCCCCGGGAGCGGTAGGCAAAAGTGCAAGATAACGTATTTTCACGTACAAGTGCACGCACGCAAAGTATGCGGGGGGGGGGGGCGACCCGTCGTCGGCAAGGTATATGCTGCCCTGGAAAATGGAAGGTGAACGGAACCAAACAAGGCACGACAACGCGAAATCAACAAGGAGAGAGAGGATACAAGAGGTGAAGCATACGCATAGATATCTGTAAAAAAGTGATATGCTGTGCGTGTGAGGAGAAATAACAATGTTTTGAATTTCTCACCGGCGAAGTATAGCATCTGCTCGAACGCCACGATGTTGAAGACCGGCAGAAAGAGCATGGCCGAGGCTAACGCCATCGACACCAGGAGGCCCAACAGACGCCCAGAGGCGCTGCGAAAGGCAAAGGGGGGGAAGGAGTTAGGAGGGGGCACGAACGAAAACACCTAACACAAGACAGTGACAGGTTTTGGGTCGTGATATGCTTGCACGAGGTGAAGCAAGGCTTGCACGCTCAAAACAATCATCGAAAAAAAAGCAAGGGGTACACGCAACATGCTCCACCTGACGCTTCCAGATACAGCAGTAGATATTGCATGCGAAAATCATCACCCACGGAAAAAGTAACAAAAAAAAACGTCACCATGAACGGGTTTGGGAGGTGCGAGACGGCCACGAAGGGGGTCACTATTCCACGTCCGTCGTGGGTGGGTGGGTGGGG